TCATTCACTGTATGTTGGTTTACTTTCTAGTGCAAACCCCACTATTGGGAGCACTTCAGAAAATACATTTAGCCATTGAATTTCTGACATTCTAACACTCCAAATATCTTTTGCCTCTTGAATTCTTTGGGTTCGTAAGACTTGTGGCATGTATTTCTCCCAAGCGAGACTCTTAGAAATCTCACATCTCTGTTTGTAGGTGGTAACTAATGGACATTATATGAACTGGTTTTGTTGTAAAAGGTGTATGAAGAAGAAAAGGAAAATGTACTGAGTGATACTGTTCCTCATAAGCCTGAGTGATGATTTTGAGCAGCAAGAATTCTGCGGCATGTTGTGAGACACTTCTGTGCTATTGTTGGAAAATAGACAGACTAGATATTCTTAATTGTCATAGTTAAACTATGAATTCCTTCAAAATGAATTTGGGCTTTTCACAGGAATTTTAACTTGATATAGGCATTTCTGATGTAGAGAAAATTTTAGAGAGGTGCAAACGTATCTTTTTGAGGTTTATACCCATTTCAATGTATAGGAGGAAATGCACTGCGTACTCATGCATGTGGTCCGTTTGCAGGTATACTGCACAAACCACTGTATAGCACTAACCACTGTATAGTGGTTTGTGGCATGTACACTGCACTGAATAGAAAGATACGATGGACATGGACAGTGGGATTGAGTGCACCCTTAGCACGTTTGTCAACAGCACCAAGCTGTGTGGTGCAGTCAACACACTGGAGGGAGGGGATGTCATCCAGAGGGACTTTGACAAGCCTGAGAGTTGGGCCTGTGCGAACCGCATGAAGTTCAACAAGGCCAAGTGCAAGGTCCTGCAAGGATCGGGAGCAATCCCAAGCACAGATAGAGGCTGGGCGGAGAATGGATTGAGAGCAGCCCTGAGGAGACACTTGGGAGTAGAAACTTGAGACTAGAGACCTGGATGTATTGGATAACAAAGCTCAACACGAGCCAACAGTGTGTGCTTGCGGCCCAGAAAGCCAACTGTATCTTTGGCTGCATCAAAAGAAGCATGACCAGCAGGTCAAGGAAGGTGATTCTGCCTCTCTGCTCTGCCCTTCTGAGACCCCATCTGGAGTAGTGTGTTCAGCCCCTGACATAAGAAGGACACAAACCTGTTGGAGTGAGTCCAGAGGAGGGCCATGAAGATAGGGGGCTGGAGCACCTCTCCGATGAGGCCAGACAGAGAGTTGGGGTTGTTCAGCATGGAGATGAAAAGGCTCCAGGGAGACATTATAGCAGCCTTCCAGTAACTGAAGAGGACCTACCAGAAAGCTGGAGAGGCACTTTTTACGAAGGCGTGTAGTGATAGGATAAGGGTAATGGTTTCAAACTTTAAGAGGGTAGATTTAGATTTGATACTAGAAGAAATTCTTTACTCTCAGAGAATTGAGACACTGTCACAGGTTGCCCAGGGATGTTGTGGATGCCCCCTTCCTGGAAGTGTTCAAGGCCAGGTTGGAAAAAAGAAATAAGCATAATGTTTAAAACTAAGTTTACAACTGACATTGATATGCATTTATTCTGTTTTTTGGTTTACAATTGCAAGAGCTAGCGTTGTTCTTCCTGCTTCTCTCCCCCAACCTCCCAACCCTATTCCCTGCTGAGCACGGTTTTCTTAACCATCAAATGAAGAAACAAAAAGAAGATTGTTTGAGTCAGACTGCTTTACACGAAAGCTTGTTTAAGGTCTAGGCGCAATGTTTTATCTTGAGGGCTGTTGTTTAACTGAAAACACATTTGTACACTTGCAATGGTGTTCAGTAAATTGCACAGATTTAAAGAGCATTTTATTTTAAGTGTAGCTAAAGTACAGATTTGCAGACTAAGTCACTTGATTCCCTGTGATGCTGATTGTAGTACCATGTAGTTTTATTTGTATAATTTTGCAGAGTTTTTGTGGAACTACATTAATCCTTCTTCTCGAGATGCTTTACTGTAATTCCTCTAAGAGTTGAAAAGTGACTTTAAAAATATTTGTAAATCACTCCAAGAAAGAAATCAAGAAGCTCTCAGTTTAAACAGTGTCTTGTTTCGTGACCATTTTTAGCCTGGCGTAATTATTTTCAGTGAAAATTATTTAGTCTTGAATATCCATGTCTGTATGTGCATGCTTCTAGGTCAGTTCCTGAAGTTCATAATTGAAAAATCTAACTGTGAAAACCATGTATTTTGTAGGGCTCTAGCTGACATGAACAATGATGGGAGGATGGATCAGTTGGAGTTTTCAATAGCTATGAAACTTATAAAATTAAAACTACAAGGTTATCAGCTCCCATCTGCACTGCCTCCTGTCATGAAGCAGCCGCCTATTGCTCTGCCTAGTGCCCCAGGATTTGGTAAGCTCTCTGTTTTCCTCCTTGTTAGCTTGTATTATAGCAACCTAAGTTGAATTTGTTTTGCAGTTTCTAAAAGAAACTTTTAGGAAAAAGTACTTCTAAAATTCCGTGGACTTAAAAACAAATGCTACGACAGGTGTGCACACACTCCAAGAAAAATTTCAATTACCTTTTAGCACTCAACCGTACTGAATAACATAAGTTGAGGTCCTGTTTGCTTCACGTCATACACTGCTCCCCATATGGTCCAAACAGAAGTGTTTGCAGGGAGAAAAAAGATGGATCAGGTAGCAGGGCTAGTGCATTCCTAAGTGATGGAGATTTTATTTAAACTATTGTTGTTTATCTCTATTCTTCATTAAGGGATCTCCAGCTTTGGCACGATTAGCTGTGTTTTTCTTGACTTTTTACAGATCGTGGTAGTAATGCACTCCTCTGTATTTATGTTATGGACAATGCTGCACTGGTATTGGCTAGAACAGCTGGCAGTGTTTAGTACTGCCAAGATCGCCATCATTTCAAGGAAAAGAGTAGGGAAAATGGGACAGTGAGAGGAAAATAACAAAATGAAGCTGAACCTCATGTTTGACACCTTGATTCTTTGCTGTATTCTTCCCAGTGAGAGGTTTTTTTTTCTGTTTTAGTCATTGATTGGTGCCTGAGAAACACTGCTTCCTTAAGAAAAGAGACTAGTGCACGTGCACTAGTTCAGTCACAAGTTTTACACAGTTTTGTTTTTGACTGTAAGAAATCAGTGAAATCAAAGAGAACAAATACTGATTTAAATGAGAAAAGGCATAATAAAGTCAAAGCCCCAGTAAAATTAGAAAAGTCTGTGATTTTCGTTTTTCTCTTTCACTGTAGCCTTGATCTCAGCTGTTTGTACACAGCCTCATTCTTCCCATTGGTGCATGACTGGACCTCCTTAACCTCCCTGTTATCCATGCAACTGTGCTTACACCTAAAATACCTCATTACTGTGCTTTACCCTATTAGCTTTGCACTGTTTCATCCTGACAATGGGCTGCAAGCAGTTATCCTGAAGCTTGTTCTTTTCAGTTGTGGCTAAATGTAGGCTTTGGGTTCATTATTCACTCGAAGTTGACAGTGCTGCTCTTCATTTAGTTCAAGGCAAACAATTCTTTTCTTCAGCGAATGCTAATAGGCTTTTTTGGTCAGTGTTGCATCCAGTGTGATCTTATATGCATACATTATGAAGTGGTATGTTGTTCCCTCTGTACTGTTTTATGTTCCCCTGCCATGCTAATGGTGCAGTGGACTGTAAGAGTTCTTTCAAGGGGTGTGTGGAAGTTTCCATTTCAATTTGCTTTTTAATTCTGCCTTTACTGCTGGGTTGCAGGCTGCAGTTAAATTGTTGTATCGTATTAGGAGTCTCTAAATTAGGAAAAAATATCTCCTTTTCTTGCCTATAGGTATTGGGGGCATTGCCAGCATGCCATCTCTTACAACTGTTGCCCCAGTGCCAATGGCATCTATTCCAGTAGTAGGAATGTCTCCACCATTAGTATCTTCTGTTCCTGCAGCAGCAGTACCTCCCCTGGCTAATGGAGCTCCTGCTGTTATACAGCCTCTGCCTGCTTTTGCTCATCCTGGTATGCTATGTACTGAGACTCTGTTTACTCTCTTGCTATTAACAAATTATTTTGCCATTTCCTTTGGATCCAGAGAACAGTAGCCATGGAATTAGCCATTCTAACTTACTTTAAAGAATGACTTTGAGTAAGGAATGTACTTTGATTTAGCCCAATGTAATTAGTAGGCAAACTTGTTAAAAGAAGAAACATGGACGTGCCGTACTGTAACAGTCAGTCATGTTGAACAAAATATTAATCCTGTTATAACAGCAGTGTTAAAAATCTAGCTTGCCAATAAACTGTTGCTTAGAAATTGGTCCTCTCCTATCTATTTTTAACTATTGAAGGGCTGCTGTTTGTTAGGATTACTTTAAAATACTGGCGTACATAAGTTTTCTAACATTAGACACAATATAATTTGATACCAACAGTGTTTGCATAAAACTGCAGAAGTACAGACAGGAGAGAAGTACCCGTATGTTTTCAGCTATTTTGTTAGACACTGTTAACTTAGTATTTTTAAAATAAATACCACCGAAAGAACCATAATGCTTGCATTTGATGTTAGGAGTTAAGTGAATGTCATTGAAATTCTACGGTTTAAAATGCTAATACTAACAAATACATGTTTTTTCTTATTTACAGCCACATTGCCAAAGAGTTCTTCCTTTAGTAGATCTGGTCCAGGATCGCAGCTAAACGCAAAACTGCAAAAGGCACAATCATTTGATGTGGCTAGGTAAGTTGGTATGAAATGAATATGTGTGTGTATCTGGTTCCCCAGAGTTAGAAAAACTACTTTTCTTTCACAAAGTTGTTTTCTGAAATAATATTTGCTTGCAGAAGTCGATTCCTGC